GTCATCATCACCGTCCTGATTTCTCTCTTTCTTCTCTATCAAGCAGACCTGGACTAACCAGCCACAGCCTCTAAGACAGAGACCAACTCTACTCTTACGGCAGCCCCGGGAAGGAGCACAGATGTGCTGGACTAGCCCAGCGAACAGCAACCCACAGAGCTTCTGCCAGACCTGGCTTCTGTGAGTGAGAGGCAGCTGATCGTCAAACCCCAGGATTTTAATCAGAGACATGGATTCAAAACCAGCTAAATGGCTGGGGATTTAGCTCAGCGGCACAGCACCTGCCCGGCAAGCGTAAGGTCGTGAGTTCGATCCCCAGTACCGAAAAAAAAAAAAAAAAAAACAACAGCAACAACAAAAACCAGCTACATGTCTTTTGTGGGGTCTTATGCACCAACCATTTGTATTATTTATCAAATTATTACTTTCCCTCTTATGAGGCTGTTAGAAGAACTAAAGGAGAATACAAAGGTAAGACACCTCACAGGGCCACAGGAAGGTGCTCAATACAGGTATACAATTTAGCCAGGTGTGGCGGTGCACACCTGTAATCCCAGCACTTGGGACACTGAGGTAGGAAGATCACCAGAATCTGAGGCCAGCCCGGACTACCTGGTGCGTTCAAGTCCAGCCTGAACTACGTAGCAAGGCCCTGTCTCAAAAAACAAAAACCCCACACAATTTTTCCTCGTGATATAAAGCAACCTACAGTCCTAGTAAAAACCACACAGGGGCCCCTCGGAGGCAAAGGCAGGTAACATGATGGACATAACCTGCTATGCTGTGACGGCATCTGCTTTGCAAAAACTATCCACACACATGCTGGTTCTCCCCAATTTACCTCCCTGGTGGGGTCGGCATCAGCGCCACCCACGTTCAAATTAAAATTGAGAACCCTAGGCCAGAACAGTTGGTATTTGGCCCAGAGAAAGTCATAGCATCCCCAAGCGTCTGTGCTATCGAATGAGGACTGGGCCCCAACCTTGGCCTGTGGGCCATGAGGCTCCGGGCACTGGGCTTATATGCTCTGTAGTGGCAGGAAACACACTTTTTAAAAAAGTGGATTCGCAATTCTTCCTTAAAAAAGATAATCAGATGAGCTGGTACCACTGGGACCTTACCAGCTAGAAGTAGAGTGAAGGGTGGCCTGACTCTTAGGCAGGGACTGTCCTCTCAGGTCCCACACTGTGCCTGAGTCATACCCAGCCTGCTGGCTTTGCTCAGGCTGCCCGCCCAGCCCCTGGAGACATTTGGCATGCCAAGAGCTATTCGGGGCACTGGGGAATCCAGCCCACCACCTCCGCCTTGGTTGGGAACGAGGGATGTACAGCACATCGGGACAACCTGCTGGGGGTGGGCACTACTGAAGCGCTTTAATCCCACCAACTGCAAGCGAACAGCCTCACCCAGTAGGTGCTACTGTTCTTATTTTACAGAGGAGGAAACCCAGGCATAGAGAACTAGGAAATGGCAGAGCTGAGAGCCACACTCAAGGGACACACAGTAAGCACAATGTAGCGTGCTAAGTCCTGAGACTAAGCAGGCATGTGGCAACGACTGGGAAGGCCATCCAAGAAGTGTCACCCGTGCCTGGTCTTGAAGACACGGGGATTCCACCAGAGAGAGGAGGGGTATTCGAGGCTCAGGGCCCAGCACAGGCAAAGAACAGCAGTGGGAGGCTGCTGGGGCTGGAGCAAGGGTGGCGCATGTGGCACTCACTGCAGTCACGTGAAGGTCATCCCTGCATAAGCGGGAGCTGTGCTGGGTTTGGTGCGGCTGGTTTTGCCATATTCTTCCTTTGCAGAAGATGTTCTGGTTCTAGTCTATCGCCAAGACTGTGTCTCCTCTCCTCTACTATTCTTCTTCCTACTTCTCTTCCTTCGGCTTTAAGTCATCTCACACC